AGAAAGAAAGAAAGAAAGAAAGAAAGAAAGAAAGAAAGAAAGAAAGACAGACAGACAGACAGACAGACAGACAGAAAGAAAGAAAGAAAGAAAGAAAGAAAGACAGAGAGAAAGAAAGAAAGAAAGAAAGACAGACAGACAGAGAGAGAGAGAGAGAGAGAGAGAAAGAAAGAGAGAAAGAGAGAAAGAGGGCGGAGGCCTTTTTCTTTGTACAAAAGAACGGGATCGTCTGGAAAGGAGTGTGGAGGTTCATTCTTTTTGGTTCCCTTGCGGGAAGACGGGAAGGAATCATAGAACATACGGAAACAGCCAAGCAACAATGGCCAGAGTTTGGGATTCTCCCGTATTCTTTATTTATATACTCCAAAATGAATGCATTTGATCATGCTTGGGTTACTGGGCTTTATCAAAAACAGAGGCTTGGACTCCATGGTGGCTGGTTCAGTTTAGCGACCATATCACAGCATATCTGAAGAACATCTACGCTCTCCTAGTCCAATAAGTTTAATAGGTGGAGTGATTTGCGCATCAATGAATCAAGGATTCTATCTCATAATTCGAAGAGACTCTCCCCAAATCAAATGCCTTCCAGGTAGAGGACACTCATTCAGTAATTGTAGTTTCATGTAGTTTCATGTGTGCGTTTGCGAATCATCTCTGAATCGACTGGCTGAAGGTTGCTTGGAACATGAAAGAAGATCTGTCAGAAAGCCCAAGCAGACACCAACGTCATACAAAATTAGGCGACAGCAAGCATTCAACATACGGACCGCACTTTCCTCGAACACACAATGAGGATGTATTCCAGGATGTATCAAGAGACTACATGAGTGGGGAGTTGTTGGAGTATATCCAGACGTGACCACTGTACTCCGGTGTGACCAGAGTACTCTAAGGAGCTCAGTGAGATGTTGGGGACAATGGGAGCTACAAAGGTAGCTTACCAGGAGATCAAGAGCTTGTGACTTCTCTTCTGTGCCGAAACGTGGCACGCGATCTGCGGAAGAGAGCCAAAAGTGAGAGTGAGGTGATGGCTTGTGTTTGGTAGACACAGGGAATTGAGTTGCCATTCTTTAATATTCTTTATCTTGATGATTTTCATAGATTTCATAGGCACTCAGAGTCAGTCAAACTTCCTGTGGGGACATGCACTAATATCAACAGCACGTAGAGTGTTTAAGGCTCCACGACTTCGCAGGAGTTGGCGGAGAAGGTCTTCAAGATGCAAGAATCGATGTATGGGATCTAAATCTTCGGAAGCCAAATCGATCCTGAAGCCAATGCCAAATCGATCCTGCATGACCGTCAAGGAGGTTCCAACCCTTTATCTGTATCGTTTGACGATTTTCACCGTGGTGCGCCCTGGGCGCACGCTGAGTCCGCCAGATTTTCAAGCATCGACTCTGCAAAAGCCAAGAGCAGAAAAGGGATTTTCCGACTTCTTGGCTGGCGCAAGCAGTTTAAGTGATTGGCGCTCTAATAGCTTGATCACAGATGGGTGTGTTCAACTCAAGCACTAGCACTTGAGTCACTTGAGTGTCAGACGTAATTTGCAGTTTGGCTGGAGAACATATGGGGACGCTCAGATGCTGAAGAAGCTCTTGAATAGCACTTCATGTGCTGCAACCATATGAAACCAAGCTTCCAAAAGCATCCAAAGCCAGGCAGCCGCAAAAAAGTAATAACCACTACAATCCCAGAACCATCTAGTGCCATGCCACTTAAGCCGCCAATTCTGCAAGTTTCACAAGAGATCCATTGGGCACAACCACCGAACGACTCTGCGGCCAGCCTTTGTTGTGGCCTCTAGAGCAAGGTCAGCATGGATCGGGCCTCAGTTGGGCCGCCAAAGTCAAGATTATTTTCAGCTCCTTTTTTAGTGGACATGGTAGAAATACATGCAAAAATCATGGTATACATGTAATTAGGTACCATCAGTGTGGCTAGTAGAGACTCCACAAAAACCATCAGTCAGGGTGACCCCCAGTAGTTCAAGGGTTGGATTTTGACATTTGCGGTCCACTCTCCATCCAAGGCAACGGCGTCAGGTGCAGCGCGCACGCGTTTGCAGCGCAGCGAGGATGCCCGAGCGAAGCGGTTGTGATGTTCCGGCCAGGACCGACAGTGGAGAAGGGCGCACGGCTGGTGATGGGCTCAGGAAGAGAGCGGTGGAGGTTTGCAGGGGGGATGCTCGAGGCTCAGTGCTATTGGATATCACACACGGGGGAACCTATTCTAGTGGAGAGTCAAGGGACATGTTTTCTTCGAGCAAAGGACGATCCCGTGGCCAGGCATCCTCTTAAGCACGGATGGCACGTTGCACCCACCGGAAAGTGGACTTGGTAAGTAGACCAACTCGAGACCGAGACCACAGAAGTGAAAGGCTTGTCTGCTTGCTCGAAGACCCATGCGTCACGATACCAACCGATGAAAGGGTCGACCAAGGACTCCCAAACGGTTGTCATCCCAGATATCCCAGATGAGCTGCGAGGTGTCTAACGGGGCGTGTTTGATTCCCATGAGATCTCTGAACCTGGGCGAAGTGGACAGTGCTTGCATGGGATGACTGGGCCTGACTACACAAGATTGAAAAAGGAGCTTCATAGCAGACGATGATCCTACAGTTCTGGGAGTTCCTGAAGTAGGCATGTTCCCACACAGAATTTGTGGGTACACTTATCCCCACTCTGGGATGATCATGTAACAGGAACGAAGCACTTCCCAAATCAGCTGCACGCGTCCTTCCGCCAGGGCTTTCCCCCACCAAGATATGGCGTTATCACCGATCACTGATCGCCCGTTCCTTTTTCAGTTGGAAGGGGCGACTCGTCACAGTTCTCGTCGCTCAGGCCAAGCTTTTGAAGGCCTCTGAACGCTTGGTGAGTTGCTCGGTGGCCGACATCCTGAAGCAGGAGCTTTGCATAGCTTCGCGTGCCGCACCGTAGTGCATGGTGAGAACATAAGCCCGATCTATATTGAAGAGAGACGAAAAGAGGATCTGTGGTGGTCGCTGGGTGTCGCGAAATCCACAAGGGCTGGTTTTGGATCACACACACAGAGATGCACCATCACTAGCTTGCCAATACCACCAACATGCAACAGTTGGCCGGTCATCGAAATATGTGGGTTACCTTGACATCATCAAATGCCAAAGATTAATTAGTGGATTTGTTGATTTGGGCTCCAACTGAGGCCGTCAGTGCCTGACCCCGCAAGGATTTTGATGTGCTTTTTGACGTGGCCTTATCTCCCAGTGACATGCAGAGTTTGCCACAGGCCAGTGCGCCACCCGCTAGCAGCCGGCTGTTGCCATGAAGCAATGCACAAAAAGAATCAAAAAGATAGAGACTTGGTTTGTCACTTCTACCTTCTACAGTACCTGCGATGATTTAGGAACATCCGTGACTTGTATGTGTGTATCAGAATAGGAAGAATCTCAAAGACCTCTGGTAAAAGAAACAATCATTAAAAGCTCAGAACCCATTGCCAGTGGATCTCCCTGTTCTATCATACTTTTCCAAACGACCTGTTTTTCTCGCAAAAAGCACCCGTTTTCCCTTTGGATCTCATTTCCCGGTTTTCCCTCCGCCCGAGCGACGCGGCCGGTCAGATGAAGACATGGATGGCATCGACCTTCGCCGACAAGGCCAACAAAGCCCAGTCCGAGGCGACGCGGTGCGCTCCGCGGTGCGCTCCGCGGAGCATCCGGTGCTCCAGCGTCACGTGACGATGGAGACGTGTCGTCTTGGGAAGCGAAGATGAAGATGAAGATAGTCTGAGAAATGTTTGGTTCTTTTTCTTACAAGCAAAAACACGAAAACACAGACTTGACTTTTCATGTACTGTATTTCTTTGAGGCCATGTGGGAGTATCAGATTGCAGCTTTCATGGCTCGCCTTGATGCTCAAGCGGATGAGGACCGAGTCGCGGTGCTGTGAAGATGGACATGTTGTTTCAAAGAACAGTGTGGCTGTTCATACTTGGTCTGACTCTGGCACTGCTGTTTAAAGAACAGCAGGGGGAAGATCCGTCATAGGCCGGGGCGGTGGGGCTCAACGGATCCAGGCACCTCAGCTGTAGCATGTCGTACCATGCTATATTCAAAGGGACGATTGAGGCCGCTTGCCAGTAGATATTGTAAGGTCTGTGCAGATGAGGTTGCAGCATCGTCCAGTTGATGTACTGGTACCCATGATATTCAATGATCACCCGGGGCATGGGGTCCTGAATTCCTGGATCAGAACAGAGATCTCTTCCCCCCAAGAGCCATCATCGCTTTCCGAAAAGGGAAGATAACCAAGACCACTTCCGAAACCAATCCCACACAGAATGGTCGCACTGCCAGTTTCGTGATTTGGTCCAGGGGCCACCCATGGACGTGCCGATGGAGGCCATGACTCGGAACACGGAGCGAGCTATGTGCGTAGAAACGTCCCACGAAGATGTGGAGATCTAAAGGGGATGTGGGTGTTCCAAGTCTTTGGTCTCGGCTTCTTTATGCACAAGCACTAGAAGTGTCATGTAGTCCCCATGAATTGGTGGTGTTCCAGTTCCAGAAAGTGTAAGTCTAGACTTTTTGGGAGAAGACCTACCGCAGAGTCAGAAAACCATGAGTCAGGAAACCTGACTCGGTTTCTTGACTCTGTCATCATCCTCCATCCACAGTTTCCAGATGTGCTTTGAAAGACAACCAAATACAACCAAGTCGTTGGGGTGGCGACTGAGTCCATGATGAATGACCTTCAAGAGCACCCCGCTGGTTCCAAAAGAATGGACCGGCTTGGAAGTACCGGCTTGGAAGTAGCCTAGCATATTAATTAATGCGTATTGCAAGAGCTCCAAGTTCTGTACTGTACCGTTATATAAATGAGCACAACGAGAGCATGGACAAATGTTGCGATGGTTTGACAAAGCAACCACGCCTTTCCATCCACCGAATACGTCCTTGTTTTCCCGCTTCCAGGCCGATACGTCCTCTGCTCTGAAGGAGAACACCTGGGACCTGAGAGTTGAACGAGAGCGTTCTTTCTTGGATCCGACTTGCAGTGACTTTTGTTGACCTAAGTCGCTCACCCACGTTTACCAGGTAGATATTGTGTCGCTTTCATCCAAGTAATCAAGTAAAGCCCAAGAAAAAGAGAGGTTCTCGCGGGCATAGAAGAGAGAAGAGCTGATTCTTGGAATGGAGTTTCCTTAAAGATTGAGGGCTTCTTGTTTTGTTTTGCTGATCAGCAACTTGATGCATGTACGACACGCACGAGATGATGTCTACATATGTCGGACAATGGCCTCTTCACTTGCAAAGGAACTCGTCTCTGAGGCCTTCACACCCCGCTGGACGGAAGGCCTCTGGCCAGCAGTCTCATCCGGCTCCCCACCACACCAGGAGTCGGCTCGGACCCATGAGTTGCAGGCGAAGCTGGAGATGCTCAGGACCGACTCGTGCTCGGCTCTTTTCGGACGTCCGCTGGAGATGCTCGTGCTCTTGTGTCCGATCACCAAGACAAAACGACTTGGGCAATTTCTTGAAATCTAAAGAGGCTCTTCCGAAGTGATCCAACAGCAAATGTCCAGTAGAAAGAGCATTGGGCAAATAAGACACTTCGAGGAACCATCGCATGATGCATCAGGTTGATTGGCTTGCGGGAATTGCCTGAAAGGGCTAAGGTTATGAAATGTCATTAAGCTAAGCTACCCTTTTGATCCATCCAAAAGCGCAAAGTGCATCCCCCATGTCAACATGCCATCCACCTGTGTGCCTCGTGAGGAAGCATTTGCAGCAGCAAGAGATTGCGAACCAAGCACAGGATCGAAGTTATAAGACCTGTTAGGATCGATCAGGTCCGGTCGATGAGGCGAATGAGCGTGCTCTTCGGGGACACTTCGGCTCCAATTGCTCTTCAGTTCTCTTGAGTTTCACCACGTTCAAGTCAAGTAGCAGAAACTGGCATTGGCTTTTCACCTGCGTAGTCCTGGTAGCACGGGAAGGAGAAAGGGCTCTCTTGGGCTTTTCCCGAACTTTTCTTGAGATAAAAATGCTATTTTTGCTGTCGTGGGCTCCCGAAATTGCCAAAATATAGTCGGAGCTCCAAGCATTTTCTCCGTTGCGGACGTCGACACTGCACACGGAAAGTATGCTGAATCTGTTGCAAACGCTTGATCCTTGGAATCCCAACATCTCTGTTTAACCCACGAGATTTTCAGACGACTTGTAGGCTAGCGCCGACGATTATTCTTTTTAGTTCGCTTGAGGAGAACACCATCATCGCTTTGCAGGAGCAGATTGAGGCCAGTGGGCACGACCAGCAATCAATGAGACGGGAGTTGAGACGGAATACTTTCATGATCTACCACAATACCCAGCCCAACCTACAGTGCGTTTTTGGACCCTACCCTTTGCATTACAGGTGCCCCTGAACACCACCAATTAGCATCAATTAGCATTCCACAAATACAGATGCCCTGATATCAGCCCATGGGCTAGAAACGCAGTAGGGCGGGCATTGCTTCGCACCTAGTGACCTAGTGTTATTCTTGAGCATCCAACTGAGCCAGTACTTCTACGTCCTATCATGTCCATTCATGTCCTATCTTTCAGATCTTCAACCTCACATCCAACTACTCTGTTTGCTCGCTCAAACTGTTAGCTTCGCCAGGCAGCACATGGCAAGCTGGATCGGGACACCAACCAGCTGGTGGTGCGGCCCTCGGTTTTGTTTCAAGACATGGCCCCCTTGGGACGAGGTGGAACACCATTTTCGTGATTTTGAAGCATTCGCAAGTCGGAGTGCAAACCTTCGAGCATCTTTGAATCCATCAAACTGGGTGTGAAAGTACCAAAACTGCTCGGAGGGCAACGTTCTATTGCGGACTCTGAGAGGTTCTTAAGGCGCATGTTCACCTGATTTCCCAATCAACACTTCGACCTGGGTAGTTGATGGACCCCAAATAAGCCCAAGCGGCTTCTTGGACAACTTCGAGGCTTTCTCACCACAAGCGGATGAAAGCTCATTTTGAGTTGAGTGCGGATGATAGAGTCTCACCATACCAGAATCTACTTAGAACCCAGCAGCAATGTTGTTGCCCACTTTCTTCAACGGGATCACCATATTATATAGACATGCTGACCCTGGTCACTCTATTTCTTGACCCAAGGCAGAGCTTTGTGGAAGCCGGAGCCGTTGCAGCTTGTCCAACAGTGCCATGAATGGCGCCTGTGTCCTTTATTGTCCTGGCTGTTCTTCACATCTGTTTCTGAGGTACAGGATGGAACTGAGACGGGACCTTTCTCCCGGTACATTATGGGGCTTGCAAGACTGGCCGAAGCATAGCTTCAGCATGCTTCAGCAAAATTTGTCCAGTGGGGACACAGCGATGGTGTGCGATGCGTGGGTCTCCAAAAGGGCTCGAGCAAAAATCCCTAGGATGGCGAGAGGGATTACCGGATTTCAATAAAAGGTTCACCTCAGCGGATGAAACCATTGTGGAGACTGGATTTTATAGATGCCTGCCATTTGTCATGCTGCGTTTTGGAGGATTTTCTGGGTGTCCCGCTCTTTTTTGAAGGAAATTGAATTTGCACCAGGAGCTGCTGGGCTGTCAGCCGGTGTTGTCGCTTGGGTTCAAGCCAGTTTCCAGATAGAGGAACTCGCCTTTTTTCGAAGCTTAAAGACGCTCGAGAAATGACCATGACGACAGAGTGCCCGAACACAGAAATGCAGTCATTCCCACAGCAGCAGCAGCAGCAGGCAGGGTGCTGGCCTCACTAATAAGGGACACCAGATCGCAGGCGAAATCCGCGCACCAGAAAACCGTGCAGTCTCCAGAACCATAGAACCTCTCAGACATAGACTTCAAGGACTCTTCGGGGGGTGGACAGTTGAACCAAAAACTCAGGCTGCCAAGCACCCCACGGCCAAGATCAGCCCTGCAGGTCATCGTCGGAATCTTGGTGCCAGCTGGGCCAGTGAACTTCCCGTCCTACCAGGCTATAGCGGCCCCTGCCATCTACGCCAAGCCTGAGGGTCTCGTCTACATGCCACAGGGTGCCCACTTGCGGCCTAGATGTTCGAGTCCGTTTTGAAGAATCTGTGCTTGTTTGATCTTGTTTGACATTGAAGATATTGAAGAAAATTAGAATGTCATCGCTCGAAAAGTATCCCAAAAGCTCGAACCACCTCCCCATTCTTCTTTTTTTCTTTGTCCACTCTTGTCACGCTTCCCAAGGCAGGTCCCAATGGCACCCCATGACGGCAACAGCAGCTTTCCAGTGACCCCCCGGAGCCCCGTCCGGCAGCACTCGCCGGCGGAGACGGACACCACCGCCGACGACGCACCCTTAGAACGTCCCCGGCTGAGCACCAGCGCCGCCCGGCGGATGCGCCGGAAGCGGGCGGCCGAGCGCGCACAGCAGGCGGCTGAGCAGAGCCGGAACAACGAGGGAACGAGGACGGCACCCTTGTCTGCGGGAAGAGCCACTTGGACTTTTGTGGAAATTGGGTTTGAGTTGAACTTCAGCTGTTTAGGGTTTTTAGGGCTTCGTTTGGGGTGGAAGTCTCGAGGTAAAGAGCGACTCCATCAACTCCATTTTGGAGCACTGCGATCTCCTTCGCTCACAACTGGCCAGCGGAATTGCTGACGAAGTTCAGAAAGCACTGGCCGCGATTCAAGGTCATGTATGGCAATTGTCACAGCATGCTACAGGTCGGGTGTTTGGGTGGAACCAGTCAAAACAAAAGGGCACACCTGCCACCATTTTTTCGGGCCGTTTTGGTAGACGAGAGCTTTTCGCAGTCAGCTTCGCAGTCAGCTTTCAGGGCCAAGCAGGGCTGTTTGGTGTCGAAAAACGGGAACGACGGCTTCGCAGTCAGCTGCGCCGCAGGTTGTCGACTTGTACAGCTCGCGTTGGAGACCGGATGTCACGAGGCGGCGCTCTTGACGCGCGAGCTACACGGGCACGTGCAGGAGGCGGCCGTCTCGCCACACGCCAACTATGTGATCCAGAAGGTGTGCAAAAAGAATGACACATGATTTGCACGCGGCCGCAACCGGGGCCTTTTTCCCCACCCGTAGGACTGTGGGGTTGTTAGATTTTTGGAACTTTGGACTTCAGTACGCCCGGTAGCCCAACTTAGCTCTTCCACAGCACACTGGCCAAAGTGATCCCTGAGTAGCGCAACTTAGCTCTTCCACAGCACACTGGCCAAAGTGATCGCTGAGTAGCGCAACTTAGCTCTTCCACAGCACACTGGCCAAAGTGATCCCTGAGTAGCGCAACTTAGCTCTTCCACAGCACACTGGCCAAAGTGATCCCTGAGTAGCGCAACTTAGCTCTTCCACAGCACACTGGCCAAAGTGATCCCTGAGTAGCGCAACTTAGCTCTTCCACAGCACACTGGCCAAAGTGATCCCTGAGTAGCGCAACTTAGCTCTTCCACAGCACACTGGCCAAAGTGATCCCTGAGTAGCGCAACTTAGCTCTTCCACAGCACACTGGCCAAAGTGATCCCTGAGTAGCGCAACGTAGCTCTTCCACAGCACATTTACCGAAGTGATCCCAGGATAGTTGTAGAGTTGTAATGTACTTATCAAGCCGTTTGTTTTTTTCGGTGGCGGCTGTTGCCGTTGGCGCGGGCGAAGCTGCTGGCAGAGCACTTCACAACTTGCGTGTGGATGCGCAGATTTTTCCCCACCCGTAGGACTGTGGGGTTGTTAGATTTTTAGAACTTTGGACTTCAGCACGCCCGGTAGCCCAACTTAGCTCTTCCACAACACACTGGCCAAAGTGGTCCCTGAGTAGCGCAACTTAGCTCTTCCATAGCACATTGGCCAAAGTGGCACAGCACACTCACCAAAGTGGTCCCTGAGTAGCCCAAAGTAGCTCTTCCACAGCACACTGGCCAAAGTGGTCCCTGAGTAGCCCAACTTAGCTCTTCCATAGCACACTCACCAAAGTGGTCCCTGAGTAGCCCAACTTAGATCTTCCATAGCACACTGGCCAAAGAGGTCCCTGACTAGCGCAACTTAGCTTTTCCACAGCACACTGGCCAAAGTGGTCCCTGAGTAGCGCAACTTAGCTCTTCCACAGCATACTGGCCAAAGTGGTCCCTGAATAGCACAACTTAGGTCTTCCACAGCACACTGGCCACAGTGGTCCCTAAGTAGCGCAACTTAGCTCTTCCACAGCACACTGGCCAAAGAGGTCCCTGACTAGCGCAACTTAGCTTTTCCACAGCGCACTGGCCAAAGTGGTCCCTGAGTAGCCCAACTTAGCTCTTCCACAGCACACTCACCAAAGTGGTCCCTGAGTAGCCCAACTTAGATCTTCCATAGCACACTGGCCAAAGTGGTCCCTGAGTAGTGCAATTTAGCTCTTCCACAGCACACTGGCCAAAGTGGTCCCTGAGTAGCGCAACTTAGCTCTTCCACAGCACACTGGCCAAAGTGGTCCCTGAGTAGCCAGCAGTAGCTCTTCCACAGCACACTCACCAAAGTGGTCCCTGAGTAGCCCAAAGTAGCTCTTCCACAGCACACTGGCCAAAGTGGTCCCTAAGTAGCCGAGCTTAGCTCTTCCACAGCACACTGGCCAAAGTGGCCCCTGAGTAGCGCACCAAAGTGGTCCCTGTTCACCAAAGTAATCCCTGAGTAGTTCAACGTAGCTCTTTGACAGCACACTCACAAAAGTAATCTCTGACTAGTTCAACTTGACTCTTCCACAGCACGCTCGCCAAAGTGATCCTTGTTCACCAAAGTAATCCCTGAGTAGTTCAACGTAGCACTTCCACGGCACATTCACCAAAATGACCTCTAAGTATTGACACCACATTCACCAATCTGATCCCTGAGTAGCTAAACCTAGCTTTTCCACAGCAAATTCACAAACTGATTTCTAAGTAGCTCATCTTAGCTCTTCCACAGCAACCACAGTTCTTAGTAGCGCAACTTAGCTTCTCCACAGCACATTTACCAAAGTGATTCCAAGGTAGTTGTAGAGTTGCAATGTACTTATCAAGCCAACAAAAGCTGCGTTTTTCTCACCCGTAGGCCTGTCGGTTGTTAGGTTTTTAGAACTTCGGACTTCAGTACGCCCGGTCGCCCAACTTAGCTCTTCTATAGCACACTCACGAAGTGGTCTCTGAGTAGCCCAACTTAGCTTTTCCACAGCACACTCACCAAAGTGGTCCCTGAGTAGCTTAGCCCTTCCACAGCACACTCACCAAAGTAGTCTGCGAGTAGCCCAACTTAGATCTTCCACAGCACGTTGACCAAAGTAATCC